AAACATTCAATCGCCGCTTCTGATCGCTGCCTACCCAGGCATTTATAGTCCGCAAGCCAATAAGAGCGCGCTGATTTGAACGTCGCTCGCGGATGTTTCTACTCAAATGAGATTTGAATAGTGAGCAATCAATCACTTAAAAGAGATGAGGCACCTTATATGATTTAACACACAGGAAACTACTCAGTTCACTTGATTTCAATGCAAAATGCCACGTTTGGTTTCTACTATGAATGCTTTCTCAAAATTTTCAGATAGATATAACCGCGTATCACAGAAAATTTGGAGATGGCGGACGGCGTAACAGAAGTTGACGTTAGACAATTTGAACGAGAAGTCGTAGAAGCATTCGAATGCCCCGACTGTGGGAAATACATGCTCCCTCCAATAAGACAGTGTGCCTCTGGACACAGTTTCTGCAACAATTGTTTTGACACTATGAAAAGATGCAAAATTTGTAACTTGATCAAAACTAGAACCAGGATCCATCTTTTAGAGAAGATGCAGGAATACTTGAAATTTCCCTGCAAGTATAAGAATTTCGGTAAGTAACATGTTGACTGAAGTAAGTAGTATGGAATAGTCAAATTTGTTATCTCGGCTATTGTGCACATTCATGAAAAGCCTCCATACAGTCGGTTGCGTAGAAAATCCAGATACTTATCTTACTCTTATTTGCGTCACTATCATTTTGAATAATTTATACCTTCGGATAGGTGTATGGTAAATACGGCAAACACATTTGCTGCAACTGATCATACTCCCAATCACAAACATTCAAAATTTATGGAGGATCTGGCACCTGAGCCCAGGTGAGATGACCACGACACGAAATTATTTTGCAAAATTGAACCAGCCTAGAGTATGCTAGTGGTTATTCTCGCAGATTAAGCTCCCAGATAGCACAAGCAAGTGAAAATGTCGTTACAAGCTTGTCATGAAATGACGAAAAATCACGAGTTGAATGACTTAAAAGTAATTATTTATTAGGAATAACCAATTTTGGCTTCTTCAAAAAATCATACACTGTGTGTTATAAGTAGCATTACAAAGACGGGGCACCATGGGCTATAAATTATAATACTGGCACGGTACTGCTCGCATAGCGACGAAATATGACCTATCACTGGGTCCCTTATGCCTTACACCCTATTTCACGAGTATCCATCACGCTTTAACCACAGATTATACTGATGCGACACCTGCTGTCGGTCCCTTCGATCTTACTGCCCGAACTATTCTTTTTTATATTTGGAGAAATAAAATGTGTATAATGACCTATGTTTTTGAATATCGTATCGAATTTGTTCAATTACTCACAAATACGAAATGTTTGAATTTGTTTAGAAGAAAAAAGGTAACCCTTCGTTTTTCGCATAAAAACAATTATGGTTCGGAATGGGCTTGTGATTTATGTCGGCAAGGTACACTCGTGTATTTTGCTATAAAATACCCTTTGAACGAAGGAAAAATGCTCGGTATTAGTCCCTAACACATTATTTAAAGTTTCAGCATTGTATCTTGTATACTTTTCAAGAGTATTCTAATTGTTTATAATAGATTTGATATGCCTTCAAAGTTCGTTTGACATTTGTCAGTGTCAAGTGTAGTGGTATAAAGATCCAGTAAACCGCAGGACGGAGGTTCAAATCCACAAAGCTCCTTTTTTGCTATTATTCTTTTTTATATTTGAAGAAATAAAATGTGTATAATGACCTATGTTTTTGAATATCGTATCGAATTTGTTCAATTACTCACAAATACGAAATGTTTGAATTTGTTTAGAAGAAAAAAAGTAACCCTTCGTTTTTCGCATAAAAACAATTATGGTTCGGAATGGTTTGTGATTTATGTCGGCAAGGTACACTCGTGTATTTTACCATAAAATACCCTTTGAACGAACCCTGTAATATTGCTCAGTAAACTAGTAGTGATGGCCGGAAGACGGGTGTTTTGGGATAAACAATTAGAAATTCTCAAAGACTACTTGACCAATCGACTCCAATTTTGTTGTGGTTACTTAGAAGTATGAAGCCTACGGATTTGAAGAATTTCAAGTAGCTATGTGAAATTACAGGTCACAGCAAGTGCCAAAACCTGCATTTTTCCTCGGTTTTCGTCCATAACCTTTTTTACTGTTAGTCGGCTCTTTTTACGTGTGATCTCATTCTGTAGGTCTCATAAAGACCTAAGAATCTTATTTGAATAGTTTTTTGGTTCCTGCCAACACTTTCGATTGAATCCCAAAAAACACGATTTCTCAATCTTTGTTGTCAAACAAAAAGTCTTTCCACAAAAATCGGTGTACCCATTTTATGCATCCATGTTTTAAATACCCCTTTGAACAGCTTACATCAATAAAGCCAGACTTTACAATTATTTCGGGGATATTTGCTAATATGATTAGACTATTATTAAAAATTGAAATAAAAATATTTCTCATAACTATTCCAGGATGCACATTCTATGGAAAAGGCCATATAGTCCCGCAACATCAAAATAACTGCGAATATTCAAAATACGCATGCCCATTGGGCTTTAGGAATTGCATGTTGTGCGATATGAGAGAATCACAGATGCATTGTACGAATTTACGGGAGCGAAATGTGTCTGTCCTTAGCAGTATAAGGAGGAATCGAAACCGTCCTCGTCGACCACGATGAGGTTACAAAAAGCTAGCCAGAAAATGGATTCTAGAATCTGAAAATTCGAATGGAATATAATATTTATTTATAAAGAGTGTTCCAAAATTAGATGACAATCAATCGAGCAAATAAATAATAAGTTCCTGTAACGAACCTATTTCTTCTTAATTGACATTTGAACATTACAGTGTAATTCCACGAAATTTTTACAGGATAGGTCTCACATGGTGGGGTTGATGGATAACAATTCATTCATTTAGGTCGCCTGATCTCATGCGGACCCGCAGGAATATTTTTTTGGGAGGGCCGATCATCGGCAAGCGATATTTTTAGAAAGTCTACCTGCCTCCAAAACTTTTTGAATAGCGGGGGACAGGAAACTTTCTAAGGGCGGGGTGGTGGGGGGTGAACCTAAAAGTCCAAAAATCATTTTAAATATTCAAATTTTAAGGTCAAACCGCATTCTTGGGGGGGGGGGGGGGTCACGGCCAAACCTAGCACCCACTTGCTTGCGCGCCTGACTAGTCCTACGCATTATTGCTAATTTTGTATACATCTTGTATAATAAAGGCCTAAGAGTCATATTTTTAAGACGGCGAAAACTTTAGCTGAGAAAAAGCGCATTGTTTTATTTTAATCCAATGAGCGGGTTCAATACCGTTCTCAATGGTTTTACTTAAAACTCGATAAAACATAATTCTCGTATATCCTTGGGTTTTCCTAGTTGCTAATTAGTGTATTTTCAAAACGGCTGGATCAGTATACTGGATCCAGAACCAACATTGAGAGAATCATCTGAAACAAGAGTTTTTCTCCGGGCAGCTCATTTTGTTTATGTAAAACAGAGTATTTATTCCAGCCTAATTTCCAAGCTTTTCGAAAATGACATCCATACAGGGGGTAAAAAATTAGCAATATTTTGTTAGAGATAGTCTGCCCCTGGCACTCTTAAAGAATACATAGTTTTGCATGGACACCATCATGTGAAGCCCCAATTGGTTAGTAAAATTTTATTGAATTACATGGTGGCATTCAAGTTATTTAACAAACCGATTGCTAGCAGTGTCCCTCAGAGGCCTGTATCTTTGTAGAAGAGCCCTCGAGGACATTTTCATAGGACCTTGTGGCATTAGTTTTTCTGCTCTATATGCATCCTAGATATTGCCATCTCATTATGGGACACCCTCTAGAATAGCTGTATTGTTTAACCATTAGTTTATAGTAGTGTACTGTATATTACTGTTTAGTGTGTAAGACTCTTTGGTGTAATTTTGACTCTAGATCAGTAATGGGTCCTGAATTTTGACATATATGTGGTTTACTCTGACGGCGACGAAAGAGGGAGTGTGATATTTGTTATCACATCATGATTTTTATTAATCTACCGAACAGTATTTGTGCCTCGTATCTCCGGGTGACTGCATTTACTAAGGGGTAGATGCTATACAGGGGTAGTAACCCCTGTATAGGATCATCACTTACATTATGATTTTATAACGGCCTTGCCATCAATAGGAAAGACGTATTGTTGCCATATCTTTGAATTATAAGGTACTATTACCATTAGGTTTGGGATTTCTATCTTTTATAATCCAACATCGGGACAGTACAGTAAGTTTGGAAATATGAGACACAAACAGTTCGCAATTTTATTTTCTTTTATTAGTAGTGACCCATAATGACTCCAACAGGATATTCTTTACAATTTCCATGGTTAAAGTTTCTATCTTTTATATCTAACCAATTTGTCAAAGCAGTGTGATACTGGAACCTTCCTAGCTATTCCTATAAGAACATTTTGACGCCAAAATAGTTGTCCCTCCGACCAAATATGGGACGAGTTGCAACCCTGGTTGCATTATGTATCACTTTCTATGAACACACACCCTCACTTTCATATCAAATAATGCGAGATGTTTGTTGAATGTGAAAAACAAGACACACTTTTGGTGAATCAAAGTCAATATTTTTGTACCTACCGATTTCTCAAAATAGTCATTAGGTTATTCATTCATTAGCAATAGCCCTGCAACAAAATCAGGACGGGTTGCAACTTCGGTTAGGTTAGGTATTTGTATCACTTTTCATGTGTACCATTAAGTTTATATGAAATACGAGATGTTCTGTAAAAAATGTATTGTAATGTAATGTAAAAATACATTTGGGTTTAATTTTAACACTAAATTAAGTATTTTTATTTATAAACATATACTCCCATATAAGTGGGCAAAGTAGAAGTTATCAACAACTTCATCAAATTATTCACATCACATTGACTAAAGGATGTAAAATCTGTTTGAGGAACAGCACTTCAAAACACTGATATTCCAAAAAATCAGATATATGAATCAAAGTATTTCAACATTGTGCATTCAATAAATTATAGAGAGAAAATAGAATAAAATAGAAATAACATGTGCAGAAACATTCAAATCTTGGTGCAAGCAATACTCTTTATATTTGAGAATTGATCAGTGTTCCTCTCACCATAACGTTCAACACATGTATTGCTGATTGTCCCGTTGTCTGTCTGATCCTTGTAAACTATCTTGCTCTTTTCAGAATCTCCATTGCCTTCTGCACTAGGTGTATTATCCTTTTCTGTATTATTTTCTTTTGTATCTGTTTCTTGCTGGTCATTATCAATAATTACAAAGTCATGCTCATACGCCAAGTCTTCCTCTTCTATCGTCTCAATTTCTGCCAAAACTTTCTTCCAAGTATCTTGAACTGAATCCTTGGATGTATTGATAACTTCTAACAGATCACTCAGGATCTTTTTCTCTTCTTCAATTTTCCGTTGTACTTCCAAGACGATTTCTTCTGTAGGATGTTCTGTGGTCCAGTCTTTAATGAGGAGTGCTATGTCAACAACAGTGAAGGCGACTGATATGACGCTTGATATTCTTCCTAAAACGATAATCTAAAGTTGTGAACGGTTCCTAAGGTAGATATTCACCTTCTCAAAAACTATTGATTATTGTATTTTCCATGAAAATACATAACCATATGCTATACTTGGATGTCACTGTGCATTTACCAACCTCACAGTCATGTTATCAAGTAGGATCTCAGTATTTGATTAGAAAACAGACTCCGTTTAAATTTTAAATCAAGTTGTTTATTGTTAAACGTGAGATCAACCTCTCAAGGAATGATCACCCATCAACCTTCCTCATTATTCGTAAGCTTGCATATCCCCAGAATTTCTTAACAGTGGAAAAAGGATTCGAGAGGTGGTAACGGTGACTGCAGTCGACAGACACAGTCTGCGAAAATCAAAAGATCTCCATTTGTTAGGCTGTCAAGAAAGGTTAAGAGGCTTTTAAATAAACTAAGCCTATAATTTTTAGGGGTGTCTTTTTCACGAGTATCCATTACGACACGCAGCTTATTATCTAGTGCTTTTTCAAAATTCCCTAAAACGACAAGCGACACACTATTCTGATGGATCAGTCAACGCCAGGTAGTTGCTAACAACTCTTTTATTTAGAAAAGTTCCTTCACACACAAAAAAAACGACAGAAGCAAAATGGCTGCTAATGGTAATGACTACAAGTCAGGTAGCAATAAAATATGATTAACAGTATTTGACTATAGTTGTAGAACTTGAAACACCATATGATTTTAAACGGCAATGAAACAGCCACACCATTTATTCAAAATGTGTGGCAGTTTATGACCGAATTAATAGAGGTTTGATTTCCTGAATTAGGTCTGAACTTTACTTAGGTAATTCAAAACAAGTTAGAAGTTGGAAAAATGTAAGTGAAATGTTCAGCTAATGCAGGAAATCATGAAATGTACTCAACTGGGACAATGCAGTCTTCGGGAATACAGGCATGGGCCAACTCTGCAAAAATCCAGAGGAAACGAGAGCGTCGCGTAGAAGCTGATAGCACTTGTGGTGGGTAATAAGAAATGTAGTTTATGGTTTTTACAAAGCCTGTATGATATTAAAAAACATCAAATTTAATTTTTTAACCACTAAAAGATTTCAGATGGCCAAATGCATACAGGTTGATGTAACGCAATGGATACTCATGAAAAACCTTAAATCACTTATAATTCGAGAACGATCAACTTTAGAGAAAAGTCATTGAGGACCTTTCTCGATTAGAATAACCCGAAAAATCCAAACAGACTTTATCGAGAGTAAAAAAAATCAATTTTTTGCAATTTGTTTAAATAAGTTTGCATTCATGTTAGCAATGCAAAGGAATGAAATGAATCGAATTGGAAAATAATCTCCACGAATGGGAGGTTTTTACGTCGTCTAATATCCCTGGAGCATATGTTCAAAAATGACCATCAGGTATCATGGAAGTCACTGATTGGCCGGTTCCCAAATTCTCCACATTTTCTTTAAATTTTCTTCTGAAAAGAAGCAAAAAGTCTGGCATGCCTATTATCTCCCAACTTTATTATCCCACCGCCTGATGATCATTAGCCGAAAACGAAGAAGTTCTTCATAATGTAATTTAAATATTTCTTCAATTGTTATTTCTAGTCATTGATCAGACCCTTGAATGGAAAAGTATTTTCTTAATTTCAATAGGCGTCGAGGTACTGACAGTGTGAAATCAAAAATGGTTTATTCGCTTTGGAGAAAGTTTTCTTTGGTTACCTGGATCATTAAAAGCATAACAGGTTTTTAGGATCTGTCACAGTTTTCGACTTATTAGCGATTTAATTTCGAAGAAAGCCTGAAAATGCTTAAATACTCGAATAAAAATTACAATTTTTGAGGTTGACGACTGTCTATATATTAAAGTTCAAACCTTACCCTAGAAGACCTCGATAAGCATTTTAACCTAATTAATTTTAAAGCACTATTTACCCTTGTTTGGTAGGCTAATAAATGAGGAACTTTAGATTTTTATACTTACTCTTGCAAACGCACAGATTCACAATTGATTTGGGTATATTCTGCTGGAATATGTTAATCAATGGTAGAAGAGTGGAATACTTACCCATTGTTCTGAAAACAGCAGCACCAGTATGTCCAGTGAGTCCAAAGAAATTTAAGATAACTTGGAAGCTTTTCTCTGATATGTGCATGGTTTTTCCAATGTATGGAATTGCATCAACTCCTACAGTCTCAATGTGGTGCAGTTTTATGGCAGTGCTCAGAGCATTCATTAGTTTCATGTTTGGTTCATGGGTGAGATCTATGCAACCGTTTGCTATTCCTAAAAGCAGAAATTCGCTGAATAGAAAGAAGCAACTATTAGATAGTCAAGGGGGTAATCTGCAGAGCTAAAAGAATGCGATGCTGTTCGGCTGGAGGTCACATCTAAGGTTATGGACAGACAAAGATGTCAAATGCTGAATAGCTATTCAGATAAATAGACGTCAAAACGAGTCGTGAAAAACATTTATTTATTTAAGCAACCAGTAAAACCCTTGCTATAAATACAAAAACAGCCCTGATTAAAATAATTACATAGTATTTGTTCTTAGCAGTTTGTTTAAACCCATTAACAGAAGTTCCAATTATTTTGGAGCTGGTTAGATACTCAACACCTAACATAATAAGATGAGTAAAGTACGCCAAATTCCATTCTGCATCCCTCAAGAGGAGTCACATTCATGTAGAGAATGTTATCATTATAACTATTTATGGTGACCACTGCAATGAGAGCATATTTGCTGGAACTGGCAAAATGACCATATTTCCAACATTTGAAACTATGATTGACAGTAATAAATTCCAAAAATTTGTATCATTTAACCCAATTTTTCATCACCAAGAAGCCAAACACTGCTGGAGATAATTCCAATATAATGTTAACAGCAGTATTTTCTTTGCTTTTTGTGCTTTGTATCAGGACCTGACCATGTGAGCCAAGCTTCACACCAGCAACTGATACAATGATTTCGGCAGGTGAAATTCTTTGTCCTAATACTGTGGTAATATCATTCATTTGGAAGAAGAGGGTTATACATCTCACATTTTTAATTTTCCGTTTTATTGAATTAATAATTCAGAAAATGTGTTTACATTTATGTGGAAAATGGTTAGATCTGTAGTTGTAGCCGTTTGCCGAGAGTAACAGATGTAACCATTTTTTACATAAATGTAAACACATTTTCTGAATTATTAACGCAATAGAACGGAACATGAACTTTTTTTAAATGTAACCCTCTTCATCCAAATGATATGTTAGCTGTCTACCAAATATCTTTTTTTCTTTCACATGACCCCAAACACAAGCACCACCTAGCAGAAGCAAAATTGCAAATCACTTCCATTGAGCAAATTCCATTCCTATAATAAAAATCACACTAATGACAATTGCATCCATGTTGGTTGAGTGAGTTCTAAGGGCTGATATTGACAATTCGAGAATGACTTGTTACATCATGCCTTTCTATTTCACTGGTGCTCTATCCCTGTAGAACCATCATTGCCATCGTCAAATAAGAGGGCAAACTATTTTGGATTGATTGAATATTTGGTCAGAAGTTCCACATTTCACATTATGATTGAAATATCTATGTTCAAGAGTAATTTTCACACTTCTTTTTACATTAAGAAATGTAGTTTGATTCAAAGCACACCACCTTTAGTGTACATCCAACATTTTATTAAATGTTAAGAGTGATTTCCAATATGGCTATCATACCTTTAACAGCTACAATCACAGCATCATTCTTGTCAACACCACTTTCAATAAGTTTTTCAATCACCATACTAAAGTGTTTCAGCTGCCTGGTCAGGTTTTCATCAAATGTTTCTTTGCTTCTAATTATTTCTTGTAGATCACTCATGATCATAGTAGTAGTTTTGTAGTCCACATAATCTGTTATTACATTTGACAGTCCTCCTGAGAGGGACATTATGGCTCCACCAGCCCCTGCAAAATAGAGACACATTTTTTATCCCATGCTTAGCGCTATTTTAAGCCACTGGTTTATGAGAAACATTTTTGAACAAGGCCTTTGTGGAAAGAATTTTATATGAAATAAATCCATTATTTTAAAAAATATTGCATTTTTTCTAGCACCTTGTCTATAAAATAAAACACAAATCTGTTGTAAAAATGTGCATCTAACCAGGTTTCAACGGAATATGCTTCAAGTGACTTTCAGCAGAGCTATTTGTAAAGCCACTAGGAATTGCAGCTGCATAATACAGAGATGTCAGACCCTTATGTCAAAAATCTTTCAGCAGCTTTAGTACTACGCTATCATTAGTTACTCACACAATAGTTGCTTACGAACTGCCGATTTTCTGACCTAAGTTAAATTTAGCTTCTGATCTGAGCTAAATTGTTGATAAGCACGACTTCAAGAGGAACGTACCATATCTGTCAACGAGTGAATAATAAGATAATAAGTACATGTTTTGTGGTGTATTAGACATTGTTGGTTTGTGGTTGTAGTTTTTATTTTCTGTTTTCAATTCTAATTTAAAAAATAGTGGTTTTGGTTTACTGTTTCGGCTTGTAACTGTAATAATTAACAATAAAGAGTGGTAAAAAAAGTTTTGCTGGACAGATGTTTGTACAACTTTGATTTTAACATGTGAGCTCCATCATTTTATTTTAATAACATTTTAAGTTAATTTGTAACATACTAGACTTGTGTATCTCATTTTAACAGTTTTTAATATTGTATAAATACATGTACAACCAAATTTAATTTTGACCAGTTACCAATCTATGGTGCCTAGGTGTTGCTTATATTTGCTGATGGTATTGTAGGTACTACATTTTTGCTTTTCTTTGATGTTGCTTATGTTTCTCTTTTAAAATTTTGCTGTCAATAAAGAATATTATTATTATTATAACTGTTGCATACTTATTCGTCATTTTGAATGAATGATCACTCCCATCCACAGACTGAAAAGAATTATTATCATTATTAATGATAAACTTTAATTAGTATTCCTCAATAATTATTGACTAAATAGAGACTATTGGAAATTATTTACAAACATTAAAGTTACCCAACCTCAATCATGAACGTCAAACATTCAAAAACGACGAAAATCCGGGTGTCTTAACAGCGGCAAGGGCAGAGGTAAGATTCTAACGAAGTTGTGTGTGTGTGTGTTCAGATAGTTTTATTTAAATTAGGTCAGAATGTGTGCTGTTCGTAAACAACTAATGATAATAATAAAGATCTGAGCTATTTAGGGGCAAATGGGGTAGTTACCCTCTAGAAGCAGAGCATTTGATAACGCTCTAAGGGGTCGTCTTAAAGATCATTTTGCACTGGGACTCTTACGACTGTAGCTTTAGCCTAGACTGTAGATCTTACCTAGAACCATTGTGCTGCCACCAGTAAAGGGTGCTGTAGCTACAGAACCCACAATCATTGCAACACCAGTGCCGCTGACTGCTGTTCCAGCCGTTTTAGCTATATTGCATTTGTGGTGGTGACTAGCTATATTTTTCTTCAGGTCTGCCAGCTTGTCTATAATATCTGCCAGTTTTATTATGTAGTTCTTCAAAACCCATTCAAAACTGCTGTTCATATGTTCCTCCATTATGATATGTAGATATGATGTATGCAGGTAATTAGTTATTGAAAAATGTGTCTTCTGCCACAAATAATTTAAAACGCAATTCGTACACAAAGAAGGAGAACGTATGTTTACTTCAGAGTGTTTACATTGTAATAATGTCAAAAGCGGCTGAACAAGTCTTCAGAAAGGCAATCCAAAACACCAGAAACTTGACATTAATCAAATCCAAGCGAATATAGTGGATACCAAATAAAATCCGATGCACGTCATAGGTGATGTCATTCATAAAAATCATGGTTACCAACAGTTGACTACATTCAATGTGACATTTCTACTTGAAGTTTAAATTTCCCCGTCTCGATTCGGTTGGTAGTGCCGTGCAGAGAAATGTGAGGTTGCCACTTCTCATTTGTTGACATCAGTTGCCATTGTCCTTTTGTCGTACTATTAGTTCTTTATTGTTTAGTTTGTGAGTTTTGCGCTATTTGAGCTTTGAATCGTTGCCTTGCCAATTAAAAGTTGTTCTTCTCAGAACAAAAGTTACTGTGAAGTGGTATAAAGTATCCAAAATGCCAAAACAACTTAACAGTCGGTGTAAAGAGCTCATATCAATTCTGGCAACAGCGCACAGCTCCAGATCGATGACGTGCATCGGGTTTTATTTGGTATCCACTATAACTAAAATTTCTGTGTTATGTGCCGCGGTTATAATATGGTTCAAGATGACACACGGGTTGATGACGTCAGTTACACGAATCGCTTGAACGCGTTGGTTTTAACCGCGGTTTTGTTGCAAGTTGTTTATTTTGGAAAAGCGCCTATATAATCTCTGATTATTTTTATTATCACTTAATAATCGGTGCTTTTTCGTCTACAACTGTATATGGAAAGTTTAAATAAGAAACCTTTCATAATATTCATGGGAGAAATGTTTTTTGTCAGATTTTTTTTAATGATGGAACCATGGCTTTGAGGCTTTCTAGCTATGATAACTTTCAATTCTCTAAATTTTTCCACATGTCAAAGAAAACATTTATTGATTCAGCAGAAATGATGAAAAATGAAATTAGCAAAACCGTATACAGATGGATATCATCTAGTGAGTTTATATGGCCATATTTTAATATTCTTGTGGTATATGGCTACACAGGATACTTTGTTAAGCATAGGAACTACATTTAAAGTGTCCCCAACAACCGTAATGAGTATAACTAATAAGGTGCTCCACTTTATGGTAAAAGTGAAGTCAGTCTGTATCATTTTTCTCAAAAATGAAGCTGAAGTACAATAACAATATCCATACCCGGCAAAATTCTAACTTGTCACATTTCAAATAATAACCAGAAATATAAAGCTACTCTTGAGTTGGGTAAATACCGCAATTTTGCGGTGATAACTATGACATATAACAGCTGATTCGTGACGTCACGGATCTTATAACCAAACTGATAACTACACTCGCTTGAACGGATTGGTAAATACCAACCCAAAATGTTAAATACCATTTCCATTTGGTTATCCACTTGAATTTGATTATTTACTACGTTTATATCGAATAGGATAGAATATGAGCAAAACGTATACGCTATTTGACGAGTATCTATCATGCTTTATTATATAATACTGAAATGAACGGCTGATCAGCAAGTGACATTTTTGTGTTAATCTGCGATGTTGGCAATCTTAGTAATAATGAATCGTATATAAATCTAGTACAACTTTGTAGCGTTTTGTTTTTTATACACCTACAGTCAGTTTCTAAATAAAAGAGCTTTTAGCAAGTACAAAATGAATCTGTAGCGTACAAAAAAACAAAACAAAATATTGCTTTGTCTACCTGGCACTGACGGATTCGTCATTCGTCAGAATTACGTGTCGTAATACTGATATGAGGAATTTGGACAGAACTATTGAATCAGTCATTCTACCGCGGTTGATACTCGTAATTTTGGACTCGCAAGATTGTCCCAACTCTAGATTGGAAAGGTCATGCTTTAACCTAGAAATTATTAATTGTTTTTGTTTCTTTATAGTCTTCAATAGTCTTCTAAAATGTCTCTTCAAGCTAAAATATGTCTAGGTGCCGCGTGTGTGTTTTCAGCATCAATCATAGGATACGTTCATATTAAACAGATAAGAGACAGGTAATATTTCATTATTAAAAAATGTTTTAGTTCTTTAAGATTGCCCCTTTCTAGGGAAGCAATGCACGAAGGAGTCATCAGAGATATAGAGATGAGACAAAGAAAGAAGGCAGAAAATTTATACACACTACAACAACAGATTGATCTTGCTAAAGAACTGAAAAAACATAATGGCCATAGTGTTACATGATATCATTTCACATGTGATTATTTAGTAAGAATTGAGCAGTAATATTGAAGTCTGTCTACCAAGTAGATGAATAAATAATCATTTAGCTTGTGGGCATCAATATTGTCTTGAGATCCCCTATTTTTTGTCATAGCTTTGTGTTACTATTACTTTTTTATTCAAGTAGGTAACAGCCCCATTGCACCCAATATGAAGATACATATAGTTGTAGTTACCATTCTTGGCAGTTACATCATCAACGCAATATGAAATAAGTTAACAGTTCAAGTCACCATACCATGGGCGAAACATGCACAGCACCTTTCTCCAGTATGCATGAAGTGGGTAACAAGGGACAGCTGTTTTCATACTCTTCATACATTCACAGGGGTAGGTTGCATGTGTATGTATGAGGATATATAAAGGGATACTGGTAGTCTTACTTTTACCTGACAAGAACGGTGACTACAACTATAGACAATTTTATACTATAAGTATCTATTTTGTACTAAGCATATGATAAAATAACAAACAAATATTTCAAAGAATATGATTCTAGTCAGAATGGTTTACTATAATAAATAACATCAAAAATACTTCCACAGCTCCATGTTACAGTGCAGCAGTCTCCATTGTGGTACTTTTATTCACTATACAACACTGGTCATTTCTTTTTTATCTTTGGGATTAGGGTAAATTATAAATAGACTCAATTGTAATGCTGAAAATATACATCCTATGAAGTTGGGCACCTAAAAACAAAAAAGCCAATATAAATCACAGCCTAAAGAAAGGGTAAATATAAAAGAGATGGTTAAGCTGAGAATGTCAGACCATTGACACTCAGTTCTAAGTTCTTGGTAAATAAACCGAAATGAGTAACTTATGCTACATTTTTGTTTGACATCTGTACAAATGAATCAGAAGTTCAGACTTTGAATGTCTTTTTCTCAATGTATAGCTTCCCATGTATTTTTCCTTCTTGAAAACCTAAATTACCTACATAATAATGTTTGATAATAGTTTCTGGTATTGACAAAAAAACCCTTAGTCCCCTTGGATGGACCAGTTCAAACCAAATTGTGCTGTCTATTGCATTTACTAAAATTTGAGTTTCTATACATATTGTGTTTGAGAAGGCTGTTATTGATCATCTTTTTGGCACTATGTTGTAAAAGTGCTTGCCCGATAATCAACTTCTGGAACTAGATATGACAGGTATATCGACAAAGGTGGATAGAAAAATGTTTATTAATAAGATTATCAAAAAATACGTTACCTGAATGAATTTGTCATTCAACATCATGCCATAAGCAAACCATTGTAAACATACAACGAAGGTGGCAAGTATCAAATGATAAGGTAAGCTATCAGCACTTTTGATCCTAATAACATGGAACAGTGAAGCTAAAGGTGCAGCAAAGAACATGATAGTGACTGAAGCACATATCAGGCCTAAATGAGATCTAGCCTCTTCATCACTTTTTGTTTTGTGGATGTATAATAGCACCATTGATAATACAAATAGGCATAACATAAATTGTTGTAATACTGTACCCTAAAAGATAAAATAATTACCTTTGAAAAATTAATAACATAAACTTTGCCAGACAAAAACTAGGAATATAGCTTTCGTTCGTCCGCACTACAGACCACCAACCATGAACAGCTATTTCGTGCTGTTAGGCAACTCCTCAGCATGGTCTAGGCTTGGTCTCGGGTAGTACAACAAATGAAACTATCCTCCATTCAGGATACAAGGTCTATCGAAATAAGACAGGACAAAGTGCTATCTACAGGGTCTACAAAACGAACGCATGTTTTTTAAATGAGTAGTACAGTCAAATAAGTATGGGAAAAATATTTTATTATATCAAAATACTCAGAAATACGTGCCATTTTTTGAGTAAAACAAAATTTACGTTCTAAAAACTATGTCAGCCATATGGCGCACTTGAGCCGAAATGCAGGAATCAAGCCTCTCGCGAAATGAGCCCATTGCGTAGGCCAGCATCCGTGCAGGAATTTGGGTTACTTCTCTTCTTATTTCCTCCTTCAAATCGTCGAGGGCCCGAGGCTTGCTTTAGTAAACTTTTGATTTCAGGTAGCCCAATAAAAAAAATCACACGTTGAAAGGTCCGGGGAGCGAGGGGGCTATGGAATATCGCCGTGACGTGAAATGACACGTCCTGGGAATTTTTGCCGAAGAAGTTCCGTGCGAGCTGTGTGAGATGTTGCCCCGTCTTGTCGGAACCACACTGTTCTGAGACGGACACGTCGACGTCGAAGTTCCGGAAATAAAAGTTGTTCAGCATGTGGATGTGACGCTCTGAATTCACAGTAGTTGTTTCTGAATCATCCTCAAAAAAAAATAAGGGCGAATAATCATCTTTGGGGTATGCAGGGGGTGCTCATGCAACTGTTGGGGGTTCACTGGAGATCAATATCGACAATTTTGTTATCCAACTGTTCAATCATGAGCTGTGTAAAATTAACACGTTGTGCATAATCCACTGGCAACAGTCGTTGACAAACTTGGTTTTTGTAAGGATGGAACACTAAATCCTTCTTCAAGAAGCGACGTAGAGAGGACGCGTGGATCCCTAGGGAACTGGCTCACAAACGGACGGAACGATTCGGCCTTTGCAGCGTGTCAACTCTCCCTCTGTCTACGTTTTCGGGGGTTCCAACAGTACGGTTTCGCCCTGGCTTTCTTCATCACATTACCTGTTGTGTTCAATGCTTCCAATGATGTTACGGTCTGGTATTGTCCCACGACGTGAACGCGAAACTCGCGTTGCGTTCGAACGAGACAGACTCGCCATTCTGAAAGTACCGACGTACAGTGAACACACGATGCTCAACGTTCCAAACCATCTTGCCAACTGAAACGATACTTCTCCCACTATCCAACATGCCCTTCCCCACCGACACGGGACCAGCCCCCTAAAAAAACATGCGTTCTTTCTGACGGACCCTGTATTACCCGAATAGATGTCACTTCTTGCTGTTTTGTTTTGGTTTGCCAGAGATTTGAATTTAACAATGAAATTGGCCATGAGCATTGATTAACGTACATTACAATAAGATAGCCAACCATGTAGTGTATTTCATTGTTAAAAAAAATTATCTGAGATGAAATGAGTTACCTTAATGTCATCTATAAGTACTTTTTACAATTATGTTTATCCTCTCCACAGTAATTAAATATCCACGTTGAATATGTTAGTCTCATATACGGCGCTGTATCCAACTATGTGAGTATATCTATGAGACATTAAGCTTTTCAAAGTAGATTTCTAATTATTGTGTGGAGCGGAGAAACATAAATTCCTTCCAAGGTTATTGGCCTAACCTCCCTAAGGAAAACTGCACACGGCGCACGCCCAGTGCCGGATGCTCCACTGTTCGATTTTCATCCGCCGGCGCGCATGACGTCACGCTGAGAGTGATTATCATTTGGGTTGATATGGATAACGTACATATTTTCAACTACAAGCCAAACGGCTGGACGGCTTTTCACATATGAAGTGTAGTTGGATTCGTCTTAGCGGTGCAAGTGACACAATCTACATTAAAATTTTATACAAAACAAAATGGCGGATTTAAACAAAAGATTTCAAGCTTGTAAATCCTATCTCACGAGCTGTAGCTTAAACGGCTTTCTAGCTCCACAATATAGCGTGTATCGTCACTTTACTGTAAAAACAAGATTTTTCTACATTACCTATATTTTAGTATGTTCTGTGGAGCAGGATTAACATGCTCATGACGTTAATACTGCATGCACTACATTTATTCATCCTTATTTTACAGAACATCCTAAGTATAGGGCGGGGCAAAAGTCGCGGAGGGATTTGAAAAGTTAATAACTTTTTTTAAATTTATTTTGTTTTCTTTTTTTCCAGGACTGTGAAAAATAAATCTTGGAGATTAATTATGGAGCGTTACAACCTTAATCAACGAACCAAACTTATAGAATTTTATTTTGAATATCATCATTCAATAATTCAAACTCAACGAGCATATCGTCGTCATTTCAATTTGCGGAATTCGACGCTTAGCGGCACGATTTCAGCAACAAGGCACAGTTATGGATCTCCCACGAAGCGGAAGGCCGCGTTCCGCAAGAAATGAAGAGAACATTCAACGCGTTCAGGAGAATCCGGAAACCTCAACCCGAAGACGTTCTGCTGAGCTGCAGATGTCTCGAAGGTCTTTACGCTGAATATTAAGAGGAAATCTGTTTCCATATAAAGTTCAGCTAGTGCAAGAACTAAAACCAGCAGATTTCCAAGAACGACTAGCTTATGCAGTTCGCTTATAAGATTATGAATTTATTTATTCTCTGATCATGAGCGATGAAGCCCATTTTCATTTGAATGGCTTTGTAAATAAGCAGAACTGCAGAATATGGGGTACCGAGAACCCAAGGGTGGTTCATCAAATGCAATTACATCCGCTTAAATGCACAGTATGGTGCGCAGTTACGTCTCAACGAATTATTGGACCATTCTTCTTCGAAGACCACGATGGGAATACTGTATCTGTAGATGGAGAGCGATATCGGGAAATGATTCAAAATTTCTTAAGACCAGCTCTTGCTAAAAATCAAGCGATGAGGTTCCAACAAGATGGAGCCACAGCGCATACTGCTCGAGCCACTATGCACCTTCTAAGGCAGATTTTTGGCGAACGTTTAATTTCGAGAAATTCAGGATTCAATTGGCCCACCCGCTAGCCGGACTTGACAGTCCCTGATTATTTCCTTTGGAGATATCTGAAAGGAAAGGTGTATGTTAATAAACCCACAACCCTGCGGCAACTGAAGGATAATATTCGAGCAGAAGTAAGTGCTTTGGGGCCAGATATTCTGACTCGGGTCATGGAAAATGCTCTTGCAAGAGCTGCACTTTGCGATGCTGAAAATGACGGTCATTCGCGTGATGTAATCTTTCACACTTAAATTCTAAACAAACTGCAAAATATTGGATTTTACTTTTGTCTAAGGAAAAAAATTAAAATTAAAATTTAAAAAAGTTATTAATTTTTCAAATCCCTTCGCTACTTTTGCCCCACCCTGTACTAACTACATGCAAGTGTGAAAATGTACACAACTCGAAAAGTAGAAAAATGGAATTATCTTTTTGTAGTAAGCTGGCGGTATAACAATAAATGGAAATGACTTAGTCTAAGCTACAATTTTTCTCCATCTCCTTTTATGATTTTTCTGGTCTTTCAAACTTTTATTCAGTTCGTTGATATGGAAGAACATCCTTGACGTGAAAAATAGTTTTTCAGGGCAGTCAATGTTGCTGCTCTTCATCAGAAGTTCCCCATTGAATCTAGTAAATACCTTATTAAGCTTCTCAATTTGATTCACGAAACCTATGGAAGGTTTTGAGAATCCACTCTCACTAAGATGGTCTATCCAGGAATAAGTTTCATTTGAAAAACTTTTGAAACTCTCATCCTGTAATTTATGGTAAATAAAGCCCGCCAAATTTTTCAGCCCATCATACTAGAGCTCAGCTATTTCTTCCAATAAAACTTCCTCGTTATAGTCAGCTGATACTTCAGGTGCAATCAGTTTATTCGTTAATGATGCGGTTAGTGGAATGTCCGGAGTATCATCTTCCTCTACACTGCAATACCCTGAGTATGTGCCTTCGTTTCGCCCCAAAATATATGACCGTATTCTGTACTTAAACTCTAGGAGATAAGTTGAGCCGTTTGCCTTTTTTGTAAGTACTTTTCCGCTTTTCCCCATCAACAGATGTAGATGGTCCAGGTGATGATAGAGACTTAGGTAAATTTTCCATAGGAATTGCATCATCTTTTAGAGCACGATATCTTTTAGGGGTTTAACCCAAAAGGGTATGTTTCAAATTGACCTTATAGGCTTCGAGCAAACCCTAGCTCTTTTTTACATTGACTTTGATTTTTCTTTTTGTATGATGCATCCATTTTTTGCTAAGGTTTTGGTCTTGAGGAAAACTGTGGAACTTCATGTTTTTGCAAGGATTCCGTTTAGATTGGTAGTCGAAATTACATCCCATAACAGCACACTAGATTTTTTTGGTTGTTGGAATTACATCGCACAACAGCACCCCGCATTTTTATCAATTTACTACCATCACAGGGTATATAACGTATGAAAAACTAATTCAAGTCACAAACCCACCAAAAATCACCAACAAATCGCACTATATAGTATTAACCACGATACACGTGCACTGCAGTAACGTTACGACCATCCTGCCGCAGGAAACCACGAGCCGACAACTCTTTGGGTGACGTCACGAAGCGCCAGCCACATGCGCAACGTGTATGTGTATCGAGGCGCACGCCGATCCATAAAGCTGCTGCTAATCGCTCTTGCGCACTCACACGATTTGGGCGACAGAGGACTGTTGTTTTCATCCCCTTTGCATGAATGTTTTAACAAATTCACAACAGGCTGTCGACATTGTAGTTGTATATTGACGCGTTGCTATATTTCATATCAAACAACAAAAAAAGGTTAAAAATCGCACACTCATGCGGGCAAGTTGGTATACAGTGACAAGTTTAAATCTGGAAGAGTCATATGCTGACGTGAACATTTCAAGGCGCTGAGACAAAACTAAAAAACGTATGTCTGTGAACTTACACAAATTTTCGCGTCTATGGGTCCAATTGCTATAGGTCTTTTCACGGTTTTTGACAGGTCACAGTAAAACTGCAGCTATCTCCCTCACGCATACATCGGCAATCAGCTTCTATGCGAGGACGTTTGTTCGTGTGAACTCAGACGTTCTTTTTTTAATTTTGTCACACTGCTATGGAAAGTCTGCCGTTAACGTACGAGTCTTCCACATTCATGCTTTTCACTGTCAGTACCATAACTTGCTTGGCATGGGCGTGTGATTTGTGTTTATGTTCACTGATGTTCAATATAATACGTAATTAGTGCCTGAGTATACAACCACAATATCAACAGCATATATTAGAAGTATTTTTGGAAACTGAATGAAAATAACAGTCCTCTATCACCCAATTTCTCTGTGTGCAAGAAATTAGCTTACACAGTGTGGAGTGTAAGGAAGCAAAGGTACCCACATGGTACCATTAGTCAATATGCTTATTTATTTCTGATCACATTGTGACATAACCACCTAAAGACTATGAAATGTGTGACAAAAACCAAAACACAGATGATGTTATGGTATGTCATTTCATTTTGGTTAATTTTTTGGATGCTGAAATACACTACATAGTTGACTATCTTTAGGTGGAATATCAATGCTATAAGACACCCATGGTATACTGTATTCTTACCCTTCTGACACTGTATAGGTAAAAAGTAACTACATATGAAAAAAATAATGTTGACCCAACAGTGTTAACTAATATTAATGATGTGTCTTCAATAAGAAATCCATATCTTAACCACAGGCTTGTTGATAAACATCCACTGATGAAAGGCAGTGATGACATGTCAGCAGTGCTTTTGTTTTTTACTATTTTGAGGCATACCAATCTGAAAAAACATGTATGGCAGTCAACATTTCTAATTTATCAATGACCTACATTATAGTTTTGTATTTTTGCCTTCTTTTCAATACATTTTAATATTGTGATTAACCTTCTATGAATATGTAAGCATATTAAAATTTTATGTTCTCTCTATATAGGGTAATATTTCATCATTCACTCATTGTCAACATGAATGAGTTACTATTATGGTAAGAAATATTTTATATGTAACAGTTAAGATAAATTGAACAGAAAAGCATTATTAATCTTATTTCTTAATGACATGGAATTTATTACAAGCTCAGAGAATGACTGTGTGACTTCTTATGCAGACACCAGGTTCCTACTACTACCAAAACTAAAGTACTAATGTTCAGAACATGCAAAATAGAGTTGAAATGCCTGCAACATTCAGCTTCAGGAATTGTTGGACTGGACGCACCACATTTGTGAGGTATATCAACATTTAAGTTCAATGTGTTATGGAATGCAGGTAGTATGCAAGTTATGTGAATGAAAACTTTGGATGAGTGCTTAGGTATGGACTTATTTTCTGTGGTAGTAATAGTGCAGTGTACACAGAATCTTCATTATACAAAAACTGGTGCTCAGAATAGTTATGAATATGGGGTATAAAAATAGTTGTAAAGGTAGGTTGACAGTATCTAGACTATATACATATATGAATGTTTGATTTTCCTATTTAAGAACTGATATATTTTTGACCTACAGGTATGTCATACCCACAACACAAGAAATTTAGATAATGTTAATTATTCTAGCTAGAGTAACTTTAACCTAAAAGACACAATATTACATATGCATTAAAGGTCTCCAGTTGCTTGCCAAACACAATAAAATTGATTAACAACGACAACATTTTTAAACAAGTCAGAAGGCACTTAGTATAGAGCCATATAGTGTAATATACTGTTAGATACTGAATGCCTCCACTTAAACTGCTGTGTTGATTCAGGTCTAAAGGCTGTCGTCGGTTGGAATTTTGTCCTAACATTTAGCTAGCACAAGTGGCAAGCTTGTCTACATCCAGCATCGGAAATGGAAGCACCTCTGAAGAAGCTTGCCACTCATGCTAGCGAAATGTTAGGAAGAAATTCCAACCGACAACGGCCTTTAGATCCGAATCAAGACAGCAGTTTATCAACTGGCCGTGAAAGCCTTAACTAATCTGTTGGATGCCTCCACTTATTTCATAATGCTGTTTCTCTTTATGCCTTGTACCTTGTAACTGCTACAAGAAGGTAAGATTAAATTTTTTTTATTAACTGGTTAATTGATTTTATTTGTTTTCTGTTCATTCTATAGCCTACTTTTCAGATACCCTGTTGAGGCTTCAGTAGAAAATAAATAAAATCCATTCTTCCTCCATATTTGTAGCAGGGGTTTTGAATCCCTGCATAGATTTGTCTATATTCCGTAAAATTTGTGAAAATACTCACGTCCCAGTCAAAAATTGGATTATCGTGCATAAAGATGCTGTTGTGGCAATAAGATTCTTCAAGTCGAGATCCATGATTTTTACAATATATCAGTAATATCAATTCAAATCAGAAATCACGGACATACTGATTAAAACTAGGGGAAACTGCGTTTTCTCTTCATTCATCGCAACATTACTTGGAATCATAGTTTCATTTCCCTGCATTTTACAAATATTTTTGTTTTGAATTTTTTGATGCAAATGAAATGTCAGGATGACATGTGAATTACGTGGATGTGTAACTGTCACTTTCCAGAAAAATAGTAAACAAAATCGCCATTCCATCTGCTTCCAGTGATTACTCGTATCGCTGGTGACAACTAGTACAATCACTAAACCTTAGCACAAAACACATAAGACTGAAGAAGTGGGAGCTGCACGTTAAACAATGGTAACACCGTTGACGTTTTGGCAGATGGTTGCGCCGCCTACTTGGACTTGCCTGGAGGGACTATCGAAAGAATGCCGAGAATACGCCTGGAATAAGGGATGCTAGGAATGTGCCGGGGATATCGTTTATTCATAATTTGAAATCTGCTGAAAATTATATCTCCGGTATTGAATATATTTCATGAACTTATATTCATAAAATATCCCTAATAAGGGTCTCTTTCAGCAGTTTTGCAGAGAAAAAGGTTCAGAATAATAAAATCCAACCCTAATTATGAAGCACCAAATTTATTTAGTTTCAAAAAATATTCATATGCTGTTGACAATGGTGTAAAAATTGTATTACATGAAAATATAGATAGATTTATTACAACTTCATGTTGAGTGTTGCAAAACACAAGTGTCTCACTCCATTGTACCATGTACCGCTTCTTGATAATTAGTTTGCTCCGTTCTATGAATTTCATTTGTTGGCCTTTCATACTTTATAGAACGGTATCAACTACAAGGATTATAAAGAGGCTGAATCCAGACATGCACTTTTAAATGATCTACCAAATACATCATGCCGATATGTTAAGTTCACAGCTTACCTGTAGCACTTTATGACATGACAGTCTCCTGAACTTCTGCATCTCCCACAATAGTCACAATACATCTCACGTATACCATCACAGCTACTGATAGTGTTGCTCTATATTTTATGCTCATTTTTTACGAAATATCTCCAAGAGCATCAGCGTTAATAATCTAGATATTAACAAAATCAAACGCCATATTTGATATTTTTACATTCAGATAAAGATAGATAATCCCAGCAGGGTTGCCAGGTTTTCAGTCACGTTGGTCACCTGGTTTTGATGAGAAAATCGCCAGAAATCGCCAATCCTTAAGGTGAAAATTAACTAGGAGTTTAACCATAAAACTCCAGTGCCCCTATTCTTGACTTCAATAGAGAATCACTACGTGGAGCTTAGTCTACAGATACTATTGGTGGTCATACTGAATTATAATTTTTTTAGCAAAACAGTGCATGTAAACACGAGTCTAATTGACATAACTTTTATTATTGTGGTTTTCCTGAACGGTGGTATTACCTTGTTGCCGCTTTTCTGCCTCAGAATACTGCCGAACTTTGCTCCAATCCAATCTACCCTTTATTCCTTTTCAGGTTCCCAAGATCACAACAATAAAAGCGAATTTGTGTCACGGTGTAAATAGGTAAACTTCAGATTTAAAAACAATTACCAAACTCTATGTCCGTCAATTAAAAAAAATTGAGTTTCCAGGCTTCCACCCGAATGTGGGATTTCTGGCAAATCAAAGTATTCATTTCATGCTCGGATTGCGTTACTTCGGGTATCTGTGAGTAACGAGTACTCGAGTATCGTATGATTACTTTGTCAACACCACTAGTATTTATGTGACATGCGGAATTAAGGTTATGTCGATAAACATCGGTAGATTAAAAGCAGGCTTATACGAAAATTACTATAATTTTGCTAAATAATTAATAATGCATGTCTGTAGCCTTGTCTTTAAGCGAAAATAACCTTACCTGTTCGTAATTCAATTAACTTGTATAGTATTGTAACTGTTGAATCTAAATTAGCAGCTATCATTGATAACAAGAAGTTGCGAAAATCAATAGATAAAAACATTTATTAGACACCGTATCCGTGTGCAAATACTTTGTACCTAGTTTATCAAGCACTATAAGCTTTCCTGACCGTGCTTGTCGTCAATCTTTTAAACAAGCAAGTGGTAAGTACTATACATTTAAAATTAGAATATGATCAGTTTTTTGGCAATATTTCTGGAAAATGTCAAGTATGATAAATAACTTGGATTCAACCAATTAAAAATATAATTAGAGCAGGATGTGGTATCTTGCAGATAAGTATATACAAATTGTATGTCAAGATTTACTCTTCTCTATTTATAGACAGACCTGAAAGATGTAATTATGTGATAAATTCTATTAAGATAATGCTGCTGGTAATTCAAGGAAGTAAGGTCTATTTCAGTATTTTTAATAGTATTGCAGTAATATTCTATTGTGCTACAGTCGACAACTATAGCAGGTAGCATTGTGATGCTGTTTTAAGGTATATTTATAGTACTACTGTAATAGGAGTACTTATTATGTACTCATCAAATCATAATTTTATAAAGATTCAAAATAGTGCTGATACTATATCATTATTACAGAAACAAATTGTCTATCTTCATACATCCAAAATGGCCAAATACAACTTGGGTATTGACATTGGTACTACTTCAGTCAAAGTCTGTATAGTAAATCTTTCTACCAATGAGGTCGAAGCTCAGCATGTTAAGGACACTCAGTCAAATATCCCCAGTGATACAGGGCATAGTGGAAATAAGCAGGATGTGTTCAAAATCATTTCTACTTTGAATCTGTGTGTATCCAAACTGCCAAAGCATCTACTACAAGAGGTATAAGTTATATAGGATTTTTTTGATCTGAAATATCTGGTTGGAGTTTTTTGCACGTCCTTAATGTGTGGTTTTTCATAAAATACTAGGTGGAGGCTATAGGGGTATGTGGTCAAATGCATGGGGTAGTATTTTGGAAGAATGATGCTACTCAGAAGGCATGGGAAATTATAGAAAAGGATACAACAATCAGATATGATGTGGTGCCTGAGAGAGTTTCAAACTTGTACACATGGCAGGACAATCGATGTGACTCTGCTTTCCTTGATAGGTTACCAAAACCTCAATCGCACTTGAACATTGCCTCTGGGTTTGGATGTGCCACCATGTTTTGGATGAAGAAACATAAGTTAGTATATTATCCTGAAGATAAGAAGAAATTAAGTATGCAAATTTTCAAATTCAATGTGGGAGATAATATTTACTCAACTATGTTTTAAAAGTAATCATTATGGAAACAGAGTTCAGTATCTGAGGCTTAGACCCTATTTCATGAGCATCCATCATGTTTTGACATCTACTGAGGTGAACAGCTGATCAGCAAGTAATATCTTTGTATTAGTCAAAAACATTGGCAATACTGAATTGGGTGTAAATCTAGTAAAACTTGCTTGTAGCATTTTCTTTTTATATGCAAATGAACTTTTCTAAATAAAAGAGTTGTTAGCAAGCACAAAATGAATCTGTAGCATAGAAAAAAAACAAAACAAAATATAGCTCTGTCTACTGAGCATTAACGGACCCGTCAGAATTTAGTGAAATTTGTCGATATGTGGAATTTTGTAATATTACTAGATAATCAGCTGTTACTCTGACATAATGGATTCTCATAAAAGAGACAATAGCACTGTTTATGCTTTGGCAGGTTATTGTCATTACCAGTGGTTGTCAGTTCATTTAGATGTCATACAGCAGCTGCGCTGAAGCATACTCTAGTAGTGCTAAGATTCAGCTGCAGAGGTGATAGTTAACACAGCCAATGACTATGAGTATGCCCTGCAAAATATGGCCGGTTAGAAACCCATGAAACATCATCTTTCAATTACTACAGCTCTTCTTTTTTTAATACTTTCTAGCCATTAGAAATACTTTTTTTTTTTTTTTTTATACTCCAACTACCACGAAGGCCTAAGGCCTAAGCACCCATTGGGTACCGTGGGGCTATACGGGGATTCGGGATACTGTTTGAAGAATGAGATTCTCCTTTAGTCTATCCCCTTTCATAGTCCATTTACGCCCAGACAAAACAACATGCCCAAAACCCAGATTGTACAGATCTGTATTTTCCTCAATGGTCTTGGAATAAACTAACAAAATAAATGATTATCTTTATAGAAAGATGTGCAATTACTTTTCACAATACTTTATTCGCTGGAAGTACTTGAATCATCATCCGAATGGCTAATATTTATTATTACAGGTTCAATTTGAATATCGATCATATTGTCCAGATCCCACATCTTTGTTTTGATTGTCTCTTGAAGGTGATGGATACCATATTTCCAATGGTTTGCCGTCACTAAGTTGACAGCTTCATAAATCCAATTTTTCACGTCAGAAAATTTGAATGTTTCTTCAATAACATTAACATTATATTTATATTTGTGCTGCCTGATTAGATGGGCAAGTTCTATCCTGTCGACTCCTGCACTCGTTCGTAGTTGTATCACCGAATAACCAATAGCTGTTGCAACGCTTAGGCGGCTACCGCTTTGCCGCGCTGCATCTTTGTTGTGCCGGGACGTAAATGGACTACAAACAGGGTATAGCATATGACTTTTATCGATGAGCCAATGGAACAAACTTCTTTGTCTTCAACATTTTTTCTGTTCAGACCAGAGAAGTTGAAGAAATACAACTGCTCGGGAACAATATCTGATTTTGCTGTAGCAATGTTATGTAACATGAACAAACCAATGATGTCATACCAGAATGCTGCTAGTTGGGGGTATTTCAACTGTGCTACAAAACAATGGAATAAAGAGGTGTTGCAACAGGCTGATTTTCCTGTGAATTTATTGCCAGAAGTTGGGCAGAGTGGAGCAATTGCTGGAAGCTTGGCAGGAGATTGGCATAGTATACCTAAAGGAACACCTGTAGGTAAGAGATGATATGACCATTACAGTTCGATGTTAATAAAATTTGATTTGTTTGACTTTGCATCATTGTCATAGTCCTGATGGTGGAGAAGCATGATGTAGCCTTCATGCATGTTTGAGGAGTTTCACTGTTCTGTCAACCTCATTATTTTTTTCAGGTATAGGCCTAGGAGATTTGCAGTGCTCTGTTCTATCTACGGTAGAACGGTCCACAGACGCAGTTCTGAATATCTCCACCTCTGCACAAATCACCTTTGTGGTAGACCAATACCAGCCCTCTTCTGGGCCCCCTAAGGCGTCTGCAGTGGATCACTTCCCCTACTTCGGGCACCAGTACATCGCTGTTGCCGCTTCGCTCAATGGTGGCAATGCTTTGGCCACTTTCGTCAAAATGTTGCAACAGTGGACCCTCGAATTGGGCTTCAACGTACCTCAATGTTAGTTTCTTAGTACTTTTTTCTTTCCATTTTCACAAAAAGCACTTAATATACATTTTTAGATGAGTTTATCAGGGATTCCATGGTGATCTTGTAGTAAAATTAATCTCTCTTCATGACAGCATTCATAAGCATGATATGCCTTTTTTCATTTTTTGTAATGAACCTAGACTATGACTCAAAGCTTTGTGAAGTCTTGACACATATTGATGTTATTAATATCGTATTATATTATCAAATCGTGCTCGAAGAATTTTGATAAAAAATAATGGTATGCAAATGTCTTAATCCAAAGAAATCATGTGCGGAGTTCCTCAAAGTAGTATTTTGGGTCCTACATTATCTATATTTTTTATAAATTATATAACTGTAAAATGCTCAAATATCTCCATTTCTTTATATGTTGATGACACGGATTTTCTTGTAAATGCTAAACTTAAAGAGCATGCCTGCAGATCTTGTATTGAAATAAAACATTTTTATGCTAATGGCCTAGTCTTAAACAATAACAAAACTGAGTTCATCTTATAGTTAAGCTGGGCTTCAGCTTACTTATTAAATCTTGTGGCTCCAGCATTATGGATGTTCATTTTGATGGAACTCTTACATGGTCAAATCATATAGATGTCCTGTAAACTAATGACACATGGCTATAAATTATGGCAGTTGAAATTATATGTCAGTGCAGAAATTTTGTTAATGTATTATTTTGCCTTTGTACACTCTGAACTCAATTACTGCATCAACGACAAATTGATCACTTCTACTTCTTGAACAGTATACTGGACACCAAATCCTCTAACTCTGGGAAGCTTGGCAAGTCCATATTTCCGAAGTCTTAGAAATGAACGCGGAAAAACCTAAGAGTAATTATTTGTAGCAAATTGAAGGTATCATTCGAAAAATTGCGCGTTTCTAAAAAAAAAAAACAGTGGCGTACTATTTTTATTTGGAAAAATGATGCCACTAATCCCCTGTACCTCCGCCACTGGTGCACGTTAATTTTAAGTAAAGACTTTTATATGTGGACAATTCTTAGGTACATCCTCAAACCAAATTTTAGTTCATTCCAGTTGACGGTTTTGAAGATACTAAAAAAAATGTTTTATATTTTTAAACTTCAACACCCCGTATCTTTTTAATGAAGCTCTAAAGGAAAACATGTTTCATAGAAAACCCCCTTAAAATGTTTCATGTTTGGTCACGACTTGTGAATCACCCTGAAAAGAAAAATACTCATAGAAAACCGTTTTTGCTCCATAGAGGAATATTTTAACTATGTCTTTTAATGTTTTTATTTGTTAGGTATGTGTTATTTGTTTTGTTTGTTTTATATTATGTTTACGTCTATGTGTATGACTATTTTCCAATACTGCTTTGTAGTCAAATGGAAATGAAACTTATTCTATCCTTATCCATTTTCTATTATAAATATGTCAATATACCTCATTCGTGTAATAACCGAGGAATGTCTATTTCAGCAAAAGTTTGGGAGAAACTGCTGAGCATTAGTCTTGAGGACACTGCAGTTTCTGATTTGCAGGTACGGCCGACTTGTCTGGGTGAGAGACATAGCCCAGATAGAACAGCATCTGTCAGCAACATTCATGTTGGTAACCTACATTTGGCGCAGGTCTTTAGAGCTCTTTGTAAGGGGTTGGTTGAAAACATGCGAAGGTTAGTCTCTAATACCACTTGCCTTTGATCATTTGTCTTGATTTAGCTCAATATATAGATTTTTGATGCTTAGAATTGTTGAAAACTCAACAGAATTTAGCATGATGGTTGTTTTGAAATGACCCTATCTGGTCTATCTGATGTTTACTAATCCGTTCTTTGAAAAAAGTAATCAAAAAGCTTGACGCATTTTAAAAAACAGGAGAGTTAAGATAATTTTTTGCAAGTCTTCCTTATTCTTTACTTCAATGTTGTTTTGAATGTTTGCTTTAGAATACTAGTGTTTTCAGCATGATGCCCAGAGAGATCCTGCAAGAAGCAAAAATCGACAGAATAGTTGGCAATGGTTCAGGCTTATCAAGAAACAAAGTCCTACAGGCTGAAGTGCAACAACAGTATCTTCTTCCATTGGTATTCACCAAAGGCGGGGATTCGGCTAAAGGTGCTGCTATAGCATTTAGCCAAAAAGAAGAATAGAAACGTATTTTGACGTTGAAAAATGTTAGGGAATTTGATGCTGTAAAAAATAATTGTATAATTGTGTAATGATCTGCATATCATTATATGTCTACAAAATGTCTATCAAAACAAAGTAACATTTATCTGCAACTATCCGTGAACCCACACGAGTAGCTCTCAATACGACTTGGTAACTTCTGCATTTCTACGCGAATTGAAAAAGGAACTTTCGAATGTGCTATTATCTAGTGAAACTTATACCTCTGCGGCACACAAAAAATGAAAAATAGGCAAAAAAAACCGTAGTGTTTTGACATCTGCGTGGCGATCGTACCCATCTTTGAAGTCTTGAAAACTGATTTATTCAGTCCTTTTATCATTTTTTACTCAGACAGACTTATTTTCCTAAAAACTTTTCTAGTATTCTAATTCGATGCAAATTCAAAACAGTATAGATAGAAAGAAGAAGAAACATAATTGAGCCGCTCTGTATATTATAAGCCTGGCACAGGATGTAGCCTGACTTCATTATTGATTGTCCGATTCAAAGCCATATTTTTTATTTCTAATTTAATTATGACCAGCCAAATAATAGTAAAATACTTCATGCTTCCGTATGACCTATATACGTATTACCAAAGGCATTTTTGATGGTTATGTTGTTTGTTGAATGTTATAATTTTAGTTATCAAAGTATTCACACTTTGTGTATATGTGTTGAGCAAGGAAAAACTTTTATCAGTTTTAGAAACTTTTCTGTGATAACATTGTATGCTTTTCATTATTTTATATTTGTTGCATGGTAAATCAGAGTAAAGCAAGTGCCCTATATTTATACAACTATTTCTAATGCGTGAATAAATCCGCAATTCTCATATTTCGTTTTTTTTTTGACCCCATACAATTTGTTTATAATTTAAAACAGCAACTACCAACAAAAACAGCAATTCGAAAGATTAGACGTGGCAACAACCAAATAACAACCCGATTTTTTTCCATCAACACAGTTATCCTGGGCGAACTGTATTTATTGTTGTACCTGTTTAGTTATTTGTTGCTAAGGGAAAGAAAGAATTTAATTTGCTCTGTCAGTTACCGTTGTGACAATTTTGGGATAGTGAAAATTAATTTATTGATTCAGATTTTACTTCCAAAATGGTTTACACACTAGCCGAAAGAGCAGAAATGGTGCCCAAAATCATGTGCAAACTGCCATCACGTTTAACGCCAGACATCCGGGGAATATAACTTCGCATAGGTATGTTTTGGACCTTGTTACTAAATTTACTCAAACTGGATCTGTTGCAAATAAACAACGTGGTCATCGGAGAGTTTTGGATAAAGCCGCCCAAGTTGAAGTTTAGGTCATTTTAGAATAAATCTTAATACTTCATTACCCAAAATTGTTTCTGCGACTGGTATATCATTTAGACTCTGTGTACACAGTTATTAAACTCCATAAATTTCATCCATTCAAAATGAAAATATTGCAAGAGTTGACCGAAGATGATTTCGATAGGCGAGTTGAGTTTTGTGAACAAATGACTGCAGCAATTAATGATAATACCATTCATGTAAAGAATATCTGCTTCAGAGATGAAGGCACATTTCATTTAAATTGATTTGTTAATAAGCATAACTGCAGGTATTGTAGCAATGAAAATCCTCATGCTTTTGTAGCAGAGCATACCCAGTACCCTCAAAAAATTAATGTATGGGCAAGCATTTTAGGAAACAAAGTGATTGTTTATTAATGGAAATTTGAATGGAGAAATGTATTTGGATATATTGGTAAATACCATCAAACGAAAACGTCTTTTCATCCTGATGGCATTCGCAGAGCGACGAATATTTTCATGCTCTTCATGAATTCCGCAATTGCCAATGGAACGGCTTTCTAGCTGGAATGCTTAACTCGAGTATTCCTATCTGAAAGTTGGCGAAACAGAAAGCGAGAACAACTTCCGCATATTCACGGTCCTGGGGGCATAGCCTTTAGGTGGAGGTATTCGTTGATGCCGTAGAAAGACACCGTTCTACGCAACTATGATCGTGATAACGATCTTGATGAGGAGCAACACATCGTAAGACACAGTTTCAGGGCCAACGGACTCAGTGGTAGTGGCGCATCATTTAGTGATTTCCCTTCAGAAGATTCTTCTTCGGAAAGATTCCTCAACTGAAGATCTGCATAGCATAAAAGCAGAAGCATCCCAGATCCCGCACTGCACACCAACAGAGTTTCAAATTCATATTAAAGGCCGCAAGGTGCGCACACACTTGGGGATAACCAAATCACTAATAAGGCGCTAAAACTGCTTTCGCGGAAGTCCTTGGCTTACCTCGTGCAATAATTAATCAATGCCATGCTAAGGGCCCAGTATTTCCCAGTGGCGTGGAAGACCGCCGAGGTTACAATGATTCTGAATTAGGCGGGTTCGATATTCCCTCAAAATTACCGTCAACCGCTGTCAACTTACAGAAAAGGTAGCTCTAAGTTACTTTGAGAATTTTTCGGTCTGAGCATAGTATGAAGTTATAGGCAGTCAGACTGGCGCAGAGCGTGATTAAGGGATTCATCCTGGCATTTGACAAAGTGCGGCACGAAGGCTTTCCTTATAAGTTGATCTAAAGGCGCGTTCTATAATGGCTTCTAAAACTTTTAAAATCCTTCCTTGAAGGAAAGAAATTTCGTTCACAACGCGGCCTGTACGGGCTGGTGTATTCCTCAGGGTTCGGTCCTCGGACCAATCTTTACCGATTGTTTATATAGGATGTCTCTAGCCCCAACGACTGTGACGCTCATATGTTGATGACACTGAGGTGGTGGTTCAATTCTGGTCTGGTAAGTGTGTCCATGATTTGCTGCAATGTGCGGTGGAAGAAGTATTGGAATGGATGGATGGTAGATCGGTGGCAGCTAGACCAAAATTAACCATTTGAAAGCGCAAGCAATTTATTGTACCAAGCGTCGCGGCGCCTCGTCAGAGATCTCTGTAGATGGGAAACATTGAAAACAAAACTCCAAACTAATATATACGTTTGAAAATAGACAAACTATTGAGGTTGTGGGTTTCAACTTGTGGTTTAAATCGCGGGGCATAGCAACAGGGTACTAAAACTGGAACATAACTTAATTGTCCAAAAATACAATGTACTGAAATTGCAGAATTTGAGAACTAGTTTTGTATGTGCAGTCGTTTCACTTCATTTTAGCATTGGCATAAATAATCAATATATAACATATCAAGCCCTAATAGACGAATACGCCTATTTCACAATCAACATCGATTATCTATGACCGGGCGGTTAATTATACTTTGTGGGTAGGCTGTCACAACCGTTCAATTTTTCTTCATATTTTTTATTTTCAAACCTTAACACCATAAATGCATAAATAACGATAAAGATACATTGTTGTTATGCCTCGCGTTTTAAACCACAAGCTGGAACCACACAACCACAACAGTTTGTCTATTTTCAAGCGTATATATAGCATAATAAATCTGCTACAAAATTATGTACTGAAGTAACTCTCTGCAGTACTTTCCGCGAGCTCATCACATCTAGACTAGGACATGAAGTCTTTGGTTGGTGTATTACGACAGTTGTCGGTAATCGGCAGATACCGATGAGAAAAAGAATACGCCCTGACCTAACAAAGCTATTTTTAGTTTTTTTTAATTTTATGTCCACGTGGCTGTCAACCTTTTCGCTAGTATGCCACTGAAATCTGAACTTAAAAGAGAACAGTTACCAATCAGAAGCTCCTACATGGCTTCATGGAATAAACTGATTCGTGATCATGTGAACTCTGTCCACGGCCATCCCTGTTTTACGTTTCCCTCCTCATTCAGGTCCAGAGAAATGGAAAGCCTGCCACGCTGTTTCCTTTTTGCCCCGCAAGGACATCACATTAGATGCGGCACCTTTTTGCGTGAGGCAGTGGGCCACAGAGTCGAGCAAGTTCGCAAACATTCTAGGCCGCGGATCGCACTGTGAACCAAATTAATTACGCTTTTTCAGGTCTTATAATAACACTTTTTATGGAAACCTTTTCTTTCAAAATCATGCAACTTTAACTATGCGTTTTCTTTACTAATAACTACATTTCTTACTCTTTGCTCTTCTTTCTTTTAGTGCTCCTTCTTCTTTTTATTTTTAAATTTGTCTGATTTATGGGCAACCAGGTCGACAGATTAACAAACTGACTGTCTTACTTCGATACAAATGCAACGGTCATATGAATTGCTTTGTTAAACAACGACGATACGAAGTAAGAAAAGCGGGAAAAGACGTATGTATAATATTGCGTCCTCATTTTTATTTGACGTATGCGAAACAAACTCATCGATTAATCATAATACAGTAGAATAACTCTGTTTTCCATGTAGGTCTTGCAAATTATAAAGCAAATTGTTGCGGCTGAATAGCGAGATAGGTATAATTAAACCGTAATGCTTATTACCGTTCCGCCACGCTTATATCGCTGTTATACAGGGGTAACAATATGAGTTTATGGAGGGGGATGCATTTTATAGAAGGATATGGAGGATTCTATAGGAGGGTAACATATTCAGGTGTGGTTCTAATCGGATAATTCTGTACTCTATGTATGCGTATCGACGTGATAACACAATACTCGTATCTAGTGATCATACAAATCTTAAAAGTGACTCAGTAAAAGCACTGAAGATAGCCAACCAAATACGTTCAAAAACTATCCAAGATAAGATGAGATATCGTAGCGTCATCTATGAGAATTTGTGACAGCTTTTCTGTATTTACTATAAATAGTTTGAAAAAGCTAGTACTAACCTTTTCAAAGCATATATAGTGAATAGAGAATCATCATTTTATCTTGGATAATCTCTTTGATGCGTGATTATAGCATCAGATTGGCAACTGTCAGGCGTAATACGTTAATCAATGGTAGTACCTACATGAGTGAATATTTTTTCAAGTGCTTAATTCCGGAAAAACTTTTAGCACCTTTATAAGACCTTTTTAAACATACACCTGTGGAATATTTAAAGATTTTCCGAAAGTGGCTGTGATATCAAAGTATAGTCTTGCGATGCTCTGGTATAATTGAATTGCGAAAAACAGCTCATTATCTATCGATTCACAGTGAAAAAATAAAATAACTAAAACGTTCGCTATGATAAGCGTTTCTAAGGTTTCTAGGCGAATGACTTTCTTCGGTAACATTATTGATATGTTGGGGATTACAGTTCTATCTCCCCTTATCGACCTTTCTCGTACTTCATTACCTTATTTTAAGGATAATACCCTTGTTCAAAAGCTTTTTTGATATATATGCATAGCTGTTTTTATATCCCTCTCATATCTGAAATATTTGATAATCAGTTGAAAATTGCTTCTCCTAAAAAGGACTCAGTCCTGTGTTACTTCCCGCAGATAAATGAACTCTTCCATCCTGGATTTTGAAAGGTAGTGATATCCCTTGCTACTCCTCGTCTGCTGGAGCGTCACTTTCTTGAAGCACTGCGTGATATCATTGGAGCAAAAGGAGAAAATATAATTTTCACTTTTTGTAATTAAACATTTGCTATCTTTGGAGAGTTGATATCGTTATAGATTTCGATGTACTTTTCAATATTTTAAGTTGCTTTCCTTCGATATCTCTTCAGCTCGCGCTGCCATATTGAAAAAATGGTTTCCAAGAACAGTTTTTCGACAATATATCCGTTGTTGACCTTTGGTGATGGTATACTTAAAATAACCACGTATTTAGGGGTTATTGCAGGTTTAACGTGTACGCACCGGTATAATTTGTAATTGTGCCCAAACAAATCCTGGATGGAGCACTTTTTATATAGACATTTTTTTACAAAATACCATTTTCCAGCATTA